ATTAACCAATTATGTCATGTGACTGACAAAAATGAATTAATTAAGTAGCTAGAAGAGAGGACTGAAATGTTCCCAACACATACAAATGTATAATGACAAATGATAAATACTCAAGGTCATGGATCCCTCAAATATCCTGACTTGATCATTACACATACTACGTATGGAGCAAATATTCACATGTACCTCATAATGGTGAAAAATATTATGTATCAAATTAAAAGAAAGAAAAGAAAAACTTAATATAGACTTAGTCTAAATTTGAAAGATATTTATCTAAAAGAATAAAAGCATTCTACTAAGCCATGTTGTGTGATAAGTTATAAACATCAAATTTGTAAAGGAATATTAAGAATGAAAAATATCATCAAAGCACAATTAAGACAATTGTTTGGCATCTGAAAAATGTCACACATGCATTGATCTAATGAGCAAAGAATACACATGCTGAAGAAGGAAAGGTTTAAGTGATGATAAACAAGGAGAACTACAGCCAGTGAATCAAAGTAGAGCAAAAGTAATTTCAAAACAAGATCAGGAAAAGAGCTATAATAATTAGAACTATCAAATGGTGGAATGGTAATATTGGTCACTAGGCCTGTTCAAAGAGAAGGCTGAATAGCATCTTAGAGTCACTATAACCTTTCAGTGGTTTGTTAAATCTGGCTTATACTAGCTCACCAGAGATAGTTGTTAGCATCTCTTCCAAACTCCATGTTCACTGACATCATTTCAGTAGGTTGAAATTGGCCATCATGGGAGCAGATGTACCACAGAAATCAGCAAATATTAAAAACAAGAGTCTTTGTTTTCCATGGGGACCTGATGGTGAACCATTTACCATCACATTGCTGGGTACTATGAAATTCCTGCATTGAATAGTTTGACCTCTGCAATTTTATTGCTATTGCTGTAAGTCTGAGATTCTATCTGACTGGTTTAGTGGAGAGTAAAAATCAAGAAAAAATGACTCCAAGTGGAGTTAAAATGCCTCAAAGCAGGACTTCTGGACTCAGCTTTCTGGTTCTACATATTCCTATTTCTTCCTCTAACAGTGGCCCTTCGATCCACCTTGAATGTGCCCTTCTTTCCAGATTTTTTTGCTCCTTTCTCTCTTATCAAAACTAAGATAGATCTAATAACCAGACAAAATGAGGACACATAACAGGACCTTCAAAAATGAAAGGTGGTCACACAGAAAATAAAGTTTTATTCACTATATCATGTATTAGGGGAGGCATTAAGTATGATTTAAACAACAACAATATCAACGACAATGTATGGATCAACACCATTCATTAACTGATATGGATTAGCTACAAGTGTGAGTAAGTCACTTAATATTCCCTGGATTCTATTTCTCATCTGTGAAATAGAACTTATAATTCCTAACTCAAACGTTTCATAGGTGTTATACAAGATGATGAAATAAAAATATTTTGTCAGGTGCTATACAAATAAAAATTGTTATTGCTGGTATATTATTACCAAATTTTATTTGCATGTTAATTGAAATTTGTATTTATTCTATGATTACCACAGGAGCAAGAAGAATGAGCTGCACATTCCCACTCCTTTATACCCCACCCACAGCTTCTATCTGAATGTGATTCAAACCAAAACAATACAAATCAGCTCTTGCTATCCCCCATGTAACAGCAATAACAATAACTGCAAACAAATATTCTTCATCTACAACTTTGCCCATCTCTTCAGCATTTTAGTAGGAACCTATTATATCAAGGGTATCCCAGAGCAGTGCTGTTATAAGATAAAACATATCCTCAATAAGGCTTATTCTGTTCTGTAAGAAATAAATAAATAAATTTTTGAAAATGAAAGCATTTTGAAATACCTCACATTGTATTTTCCCTAGCATTAATACTCCTTTTTCCTTTTCTTAAAGGTCATTCCTTCCATCATTGAGGCTAAGGTATTGTCCTAGAAAAAGAGAGAGTGGTAAGAACCTAGAACAAAGGGGTTTCTCTTTGAAGCTCAAAGTTTAAATGTTTGAGTCCACAACAAGGGAATATTCTTGAAAGTCAGGCTTTGTTGAGAAAGTAAAGAATGTTCTAATCCAAAGCCAGCCTTTGCATATCAAAGTTGGAGGTCTGAATGTAAAATTTTCCTATAAGGTATAGGCAAAGAAGATTCGGTATATCTCATAATACCCTGAGGCTCACATCTGCCTATGGGCTTGGGATGGATGATTGGGAAAAAGAGTGTAGGAGGTGGGGAGATGCAAGGTGTAGGGAATGAGGAAAGAAGTTCATATGAGGCAAGTCCAAGGTAAGGATGCTGCAGGAACCTGGAGGGGGCCTCAACCCACTAGTCAATAGACATTCTGATAGAAACTCCAAATGCATTGAGAACAAGTCTGAGAACTGAGTTAGTGTTCCACTTCAAACCTTGGGGAACAGAAAAGCAGCAAGGGCAGATAAAGGGGTCCTGATACATGGAGCTGGGTATTCACACATCTTCCATTTGCCTCCTGAAAAACAACAAAGTGATAGAGAAATTCTCATGTGTGGTAGAAGGTAGATGAAATGAGCTTTTGTCCTTACAAAATGAGCTTTTGTCAACTTACAACAGAGCTCTGGGGTCAACTTCTCATGTCAGGGATTGAGTCGGAGTCACAACTGGACCCTAGGGGGAGATCTGCTAAGTCAGAAATAGTCAAAGACAGGACTTGACCAGGTGGGAGAGGTGACCAAGTTCCCCAGAAGCAATCTCCTCACCATCTCAATGCCAATAGAACAGACCACAAGTTGTACCACCTGGGGACACATTAGCAGTGGCAGCAGTATGGAGCCCTCAGTGATGGCCCTAGTGAACTGCAAGTTACATAGTTATGTGTCATCAAAATACTAATTTAGTATATATTATGAGAGTGGGATTTAATGTCAAAAGAACCCAACCCAAGTTCCATGGGAGTCACAGATAGAGACAAAATACAAAGCAGATGCTCCCCCTGGCCCTGCTGTGACCTTTGGAAAGAAAGAAGAAGAGAATATGTGAAAGACTGAGCTTAACAAAAGAGACTATTTTAAAACAGAAAAGCATGAGCTACCTAATTGACAAGTATATGCTCATTTCCACAATCCCCCAGTAGCAAAAATGTGAGTTTGTAAACAAAATGATTTCAAAATAAAGAAATGAAACAGGTTACTTTTTTTCTCTCACATCTGAATGATAACGTGCATATATACATATAATGTGCATATACCTCCTATCACTACTCCTAGGCATTTGCTTTTTGGAAAGGTACTTTAAGTCATAAATCAGCCAATAATGAGATCAGCAGACCTGTTCCTGCCATGAAAAGAATAAAAAGGAAGCTCTAATTGGAGGACCTACATTCACTGTCTCTTAGAGAGTTGGAAGATGAGCATCGATGTCCACCATCCAAAGCCCAGAGTATCAGACTTGGGTGAATCCAGGGAGTGATGGCCCTTCCTGTGGAAACTGGTAGAGTTTTAAATGAAGAATGCTGAGGAAGAAAATGTGTGGAGCTGGAGAGGAGATGTGTGTTCAAAGGCAAGGTCTGGCCAGGTATCTTTAGAAGGTCTCATTTCTAGGAAGCTCTAAGTATTTAGATTCCTTAATATGTGCAATATAAGAGAAACTCCAGTGTAAACAGGACTTTAACTGTGGTCCTTTCAACCTTGTAATTCCTTTCTAAAATGGCCCTCATCCTAAAGAAGTCACATGTTCTTAGAAAACCAGGTAGCTTTATGGAGGATGAAGGAATAGGGTAGCTAAGAAGGTCTATGGATCCAATGGGAAAAAGATGTAATATATTGGGACAACTATGCCTCAGAATCCCAGAGGTTGAATAGAAATGCCAGAGTGTGGACCACAGAGAAACTAGCAATGAGGGAAGATCCCTGGGATCTGAAAAATGTTCCAGAAAGTATACGTAGATGAGGGATTTTGCAACCTAAATCTTCCAGCAACCCTCATTGGTTACTGAAGGGGCAGAAGAGGCCTTCTGAACTGCAGGTTACACAGTTGTATGTCTTCAAAAGACTAATGTGGTTTATGTCACAAGTGGGATGATGAGTAATTTTGTTTCCTTTCTTCTATTTTCTAGAGTCTAAGGAGACACATAAACATATTTCATCCAACATTTATTAACACTTATAATGGGCCAGGCAATCTTCATCAGTGAGCAAAGGAGGCAAAAATAAATCCCTGCCTGTATGTAAAAGCAAAGAAAAGCAACCTTAAATATTTTTAGCTCATATTTAGTCAAATATGCCCTTCTCTATCTATACCAGGCATCCTCAAACTATGGCCCACATGCGGGCCGCCTAGCACATTTATCGGTCCTCTGGGTGTTTTTGCCACTGCTGCCTCTCCTGCTTAGCAGCCAACTTGTCCCAGGCCCACAGTGTGCACTCTCCAACGGTCTGAGGGACAGTGAACTGGCCCCCTGTTTAAAAAGTTTGAGGACCCCTGATCTACACACACAAACACACATGCATGCACACATACTCACACACACACACACACACACACACACACAAACACATATACACACCATGTCTTTCCTGCATTTCTCAATATAAATTGCAACATGTTTATTCTCCCAGCATCTCCTCTTATTATGACTAATTCATCATTTCACTCATAGGCTTATTAGAATTTATCAAAGTTCTTTGAGAAAACAGTTCAGTGTTTATAACCCGCATGTTAGATCCAGAAACTTTCATTAAATTTTACTTAAAAAAATTATAGAAAACAAATCATGGTGCTCTGATTAAAAAGTTAGTCAAACTAAGTTCATATTTTCTCCTACCTACTGCATTACCACCACCACAACACACATATTACAAAACTACACACACTAATAATATTAAAATTAATAGAAATGAAAAAAGAAATTTACAATTCAAGTATATGTTAAAATAATTATTACAGTTGTATATGAATGTTCATGAGGTAACAGGAAATTATTGTAGAAAAATGAAAAAATATTATACTTGCCCATTAGATGGCAGCAAAACTCTTCCTTACTGTTAAATTCTCACAGCCTTTGTCTTAAGTGTCTTCATGCCAAGTTTCTACACACAGAGAAATAAAAATGTTCAATTGCTCCCTCTCTGAGCAAGGAGCTACAGAAACACTGAGATTAATGTTGTATTTAATGTAAAGGCTTACTGGTAGGAAGAAGAAATTATCTTTTGAATTTAAAAAGAAACTTCATTATTTCATTTTTTAATCCAAGCCAAAAATTTGGTGTCAATTATGTGTGTCAATACTATGCTGGAAACTTTCTATTTTTATGAAGTTGGCTGCAATGGGTAGAATACTATGTGGAATCAAAAAACATCTTCAGAGGGAGGTGGAAAAGAAAAAAAAACTTCAACATCAAATACGTTGGCTGAAATCATCTTTTCTCCCACCAATTTCCTGTCATCTGAGCAAAATCTCCTCCTTCTTTCTACAAAGTTACTTCTTGATTAGAAATTTAAGCTAGCAGATCAACACATCATCAAAATTATCCTATTTTTCTAAAATTTCATAAATAAAGCTAAGGTTTTCACCTCCTTCCCAACTTCAGGAGTTCTGGAGGATCCAGATCCACCCCCAAAGTTCAGGTATTAGATGCTCCTCATTCTGCTATCTTCACCCATATCCTGAGGGGCAGCAGAAAAAGATCCAAATGATGACAGAATTATTCAAAGTGCAAAGATTTAACCCACTTATAGAGAACTGTTACCTATGTAGTAGGAGAAATCCTGTCACACAGATAGTGTCCCGATATTCTACCCACAGGTGGAATAAGGGCTTCATCAACAGATGAGTGGATAAAGAAAACATGGTATATATACACCACGGAGTACTACCAGCCATGAAAAGGAATGAAATAATGTCTTTTGCAGCAATTTGGATGGAACTAGACTGTTATCCTAAGTGAAGTGTCTCAAGAAGGCAAAAACAAATACTACACATTTTCACTTATAAGTGAGAGCTATTTGGTGGGTATATACATGGTAATAGTAATAAAATAGTGTAAAGGACATAGGAAACTAAGAAGTGGGGAGGTTGAGAGGGGGTGAAGGACAAAAACTTACCTATTAGGCATAATGTGTATTATTCTGGTGACTGGTACACTAAATGCCTTGACTTCAACATTATACGATTCACCCATGTGACAAAAAGTACTTTTACCCCATTAATCTGTGAAAATAACAAAAGAGATTGAGAGAGAATAAGGGCTTCTCACTCAATAGGTTGACAAGAAAAGTAGACTTCCTGAGGTGGGTCCTGGACCAGCACAGCCCCTAAGCTCTTAAATAGTGTCCTCCATGATGTTCTTCTCATAGTGCAACCCCAAGGGCAATTTCTGTACCATGGATGAGGCTCAGGCATCCAAACTCTGTATCCACAGCCTTCCCTCATCCCCGAACCACCCCACACCCACCCTGGGTACCTCTAGTGTTCTTTAAATGTAAAAAATAAAATTGATATTTCTCCAATTCCACTCACCAGAGGTAACCAGTTTTAGTATCTCCAAGTTTTATTTTTCCTGATCATTACCACCATAATAATGAATTGCATACTTGCTTTATTTTTTATTTTATCAGATACAATTTTTACACAATAAAATGCACACATTTTAAGGGTACAGCTTCAAAAGTTTTTGACAAATCTTTACATTTCATGTATCCACCATCTTAATCAAGATATAAAACATTCCACCTCCCCAAAACTTTACTTATACCATTCCCAGTCACACTCCTGTCTCCCAGGCAACTAATGATACAATTTCTACCATCATAGCTTTGTTGTTCTCTTTTAAGATTTCATATAAATGAAAACATTCCAGATTATTTTTTGTGTGTCAGGTTTCTTTTGTACAACATAATGTTTTTGAGATTTATCAATGTTGTTGCATGTATTAGTAGTTCTTTCATTTTTATTGCTGACTAGTATTCCATTATATGAATATACCACAATTTTTCCCATTCTGTTATTGATAGACTTTGAATTGTTTTATCTTTTGGCTATTATGAATAAAGATGCTATGAACATTCTTGTACAAGTCTTTTTGTGAATATAATATTGACATTTCTCTTGAGTAAATACCTAGATGTTTCCACTAGGAAATGGGGACATAGGGCAAATGCATGCTTAACTCTTTAAGGAATTACCAAACTCTTTTCCAAAGCATTGTATACTTTCACACTCCAACAAGCAATATTCAAGAGTTCCAGTTGCTCCAAAACCTCACCAACACTTGGTATTGTCAGTATTTTTAATTTGATCTATTCTAATGTGTGTAAAGTGGTACCTTCTTGAGGTTTATTATACTCTATTTTGAAGGCTCCCTTTGGTTCCCCATATCACCTAATAAGAACATCTATGTAGGTAAGCTGTGCGGAGTGGCTGTGTCATGTATGTGTAACAGATGCACAGGTATATTTATCTTTTTTAACCTCAGGGTCTCCAGGACTACAATAGCCAGATCTTCTAGCATGGTCACTTCCAGATCTCAGAGCCTCATCCATTTACTTCAAAGTCCCATACAAATTGCATTTTCAATATATGCCATGTGAAAAAGCCCAAGAAGCACTTTAAGACAAATAACTTAAACCTCTACTTGTCCCATTCTGCCAATTTCAGTCAGTATCACTCGCCATTCAATTAGTAATTACCATTCCTTCATTTGTATTGTCCTCTTCTCTCTTTATTCTGGGAGCAACAGAGGAAGAGTCAAAGGGCCCTGTGGAGCGATCAGGTTCAGGAAATATTTGGTTGTGGGCTTAGAAAACAGTCCCAAAGGGGTCTACTGTACCCTGAGACTCTGCCATTAAGCATATGACTTAAACGTGCTTAATGTGTCATTAGAATCAATCAGCCCCAAAACTTTTCTCAAGAAGGTCCATAAAATAATCAATTTAGAGAACCTTCTTCCTTTCATTTTTATTTTTTAAATTTTATGCTTATAAAATGTACCTTTGGGAAAGATGCCCCTGTGGCTCCCCGAGCTCACTCACATACCTTCCTGTCCCCACACCATCACGTGTGATTTACTTTATACTCATTATGTTTGTGGGGAAGCTTCTTTGTAAATATTTTGTGCTGGGTCCTCTTTTTAAACCTGTGATGTTGTAAACTTATCTTAGTAACCCTGGATCAATAATTGCCTTGTGACAACTTGACTCGTATTACTTGTGGCATTTCTAGAGTCATATTTAGCATAAAGTGATTGGATAGGTGATGCATCTGTTCCGAGAGAAATAAATTACATTATTATGAACCATTAGGCAACAACAGATTGGATATTCCTGTGGAATTGTCTGATGAGAGATGGTTTTCTGAGACTGGAAAAATTTTGCCTCAAGCCAGTCTCAAGTATTTCCTGTAATTTTTAAAAAATAATTTATTGAAATAAAATTCACATAACATAAAGTTAGTTATTTTAAAATTACAATTCAGTGACATTTAATACATTCACAATGTTAACATAATTGCCACCTCTGTCTAGATCCCAAACATTTCCATCACTCTAAAGGAAAACCCCATACCTATTAAGCAATTTCTTTTTCTTTCTAGCTCCTGGAAATCTGCATTCTGTCTCTATGGATTTATCCATTCTTGATATTTTATATAAGTGTAATCATACAATATGTGACTTTGTATGTCTGGTTTCTATCACATAGCATAGAATTTTCAAGGTTAATTCACATTATAACAAATGTCAGTACTTCATTCCTTCTTATGACTGAATAATATTCCATTATATATGCATACCACATCTGTTTATCATCTTATCCACTGATGAACATTTGGGTTGCTTCCATTATGACTGCACCATTTTATATTCCTACCAGCAGTGTAAGAGTGTTCTAATCTCTCCACATCCTCACTAACACTTGTTATTTTCTGGTGTTTTGTTTTATTATTATAGCTATCCTAGCAGGTGTGAAGTGGTACCTCATCATGGTTCTGGTTTACATTTCCCTGATAAGCAATGATGTTGAGCATCTTTTCATGGTCTTGTTGGCCGTTTGTATAGATGGTCGTTGACTTACAGTAGTTCAACTTACAATTTTTCAACATTTTGATGGTAAGCATGTTACACACATTTGATCGAAATTATGCTTCAGTTTTTGAATTTTGATCTTTTCCTGGGTTAGCTACATGCAGTGTGATACTCTCTTGCAATGCTGCCACAGCTCCCAGTTAGCCATGCGATCATGAAGGTGAACAACTGAAACTCTATGCTGTTCTGTGTTGCCAGATGATTTGCCCAACTGTAGGATAATGTAAGTATCCTGAGCATGCTTAAGGTAGGCTAGGCTAAGCTAAGATGTCTGGTAGGTCAGTTGTATTAAATGCATTTTCAACTTCTCATGGGTCTATCAAGATGTAACTCCATCATAAGCTGAAGAGCAGCTATGTATCTTACTTAAAGGAATGTCTATTCAAGTTCTTTGCCCATTTTTAAATTGTTTTTTGTCTTTTTATTATGCAGTTGTAAGAGTTCTTTATATATTCTAGATACCAGTCCCTTATTAGATATGTGATTTACAAATATTTTCTCGCATTCTTTAAGTTGTCTTTTCTCTTCTTCGATAATATTCTTTGATACATAAAAATTTTCTAGTTTATCTATTTTTTCTTTTGTTGACTATGCATTCAGTGTCATATCTAAGAATCCATTGCCAAATCCAAAGGCACCAAGATTTACTTCTGTGTTTTCCTCTTGGAATTTTATGGTTTTATCTCTTATATTTAGGTTATTGTCACATTTAGAGTTAATTTTCATTCATGGTATAAGGTAGGAGGGTCCAACTTTATTCTTTGGCATGTGGATATCCAGCTGTCTGAGCACTATGTGGTGTCTTTCCCCACTGAATGGTCTTGTCAGCCTTGTTGAAAATCATTTGGCCATACATATATAGGTTTATTTCTGAGCTCTCCATTCTGTTCCATTGGTCTATGTGTCTATCTTTATGCTGATATCACACTGCTTTGATTATTGTATTAATAGCTTTGTAGTAAGTTTTAAGATTGGGAAGTGTGATTCCCCCAGTTTTGTTTCTTTTTTCCAAAATTGTTTTGGCTACTCAGGGTTCCTCAATTCCGTATAAATATAAGAATTGAATTTTCCTTTTCTATTTTCACTGATATATCTGTTCCTTCAGCTTGTACTTCACTAGTGTTTTGGCAGAGATTTTTCTGAATGCCAGGTGCTCAAAAAAAAAGATTCTCTCCCAGGCCTAGACTTCTATTCCAGCTTGTGCTGAACCTAGAGATCAGTCAGAGCTAAAGGCTTAGAGTCTTTAAGATCTTCTCTGAGCATGTGACCTGTGCCCTGAGCACATTCATGACTTTCAAATTCCACAATATACATGGATGCTTTTCAATGGCCTTATTTCCAAAAACATAAACAACTCTCTCCAGCTTTTCTTCTCAGACTTCAGACAGTCTCTTTCATGTTTTTGCCATAATCTCTAGCCCCAGGTGGCTGTGGGTTTTTCCTTTACCTTTCAATGTTTGTGATCAGTGCCCACCACATGTCTGTCCCAAGAGAGTTCCAAATTAAGCAAAGCAGAGAGGAGCACCTTGCATCAGTCTTTCAGGTAGTCTCAGATAGATTAGAACAAAGAAACACAATAATTTTCCAATGAGATCTCCTCTGCTCCCTCCCTCCAGAACCAGGGACCAGAGTCCCACACTGGGACTGGAAAGTTCATCTCTTATGTTATAGAAGAATAAGCATAAATAATCTCTTACCATATAGAATAAGATGCAAAGATTTTACAAAATTCTTTGATTTTTTTTCCCATCTGTTACTGGAAATTAAATAAATTATTTTTGGTGACTTGAATTTCCCGGGTGGTGTAGAGCTATATTTTAAGAACACTACTGACATTGAGATTGTCTTTTCTTCTCGGGAGTTCTGAATCTCATCAAAATATGTATAGGTGTAGGTCATTTTTTTTCTTATATTCTCTTTTGAATTCTATGTGTTCTTTCTATCTTAATACCTGTATCTGTCTTCTTCTAATTTGAGATGTTTTCTTACGTTTTTGGTAATTTTCTTCTTGCCATATTTCTTCTTTCTTTTTTTTTTTTTGAATACTTTTATCATATACTGGACCTGTTAAATTTACCATTTTTATTTTAGCTTTTCTGTCTGATTTTTAATAGCTTATGTAACAGAAGCACAGTTTTTCCTGTGCATTTCTCCAAGGCCCTGGGAAATACCACCACCAGCTGCCCTGTGGCCACTCACTGGTACTTCCCATCACCATCTGGGATCCAGGATTAGTTGTCCTAGTAGGCTGGCACCTTTTCTACATTGGGGCCTAGGCAACCATTCCCTTTAGCCTCCATAAGAATCCACACCAGCCAAACATGAATGACTTTCTTCACTGGT